GCACGAAAAACAGAAATGAGATCATATTCACTAACATGTCGACTTGCCATGAAAGTGTGCGGACAACGGGCTTAATGTGATTGCGCTAGAACAAACAGGGTGAACTTGCCACGAGAACCTTGACACCAAGATACAGTAGCATGACTGAGACCGATTTGCATAAAAAGGAGACCTCCGAAGACTTGTAGTCCAGTGTCGTCATGATACTCGTCTTGTTCCTACCAAGAATCCCGGTTTTTCCAAACTCTGCGAACGAAGAAGTTGCCTCGTGCTTGCCGACTTTTCCATGTTTTACTTGAGGACAAGCAAAGATTCAAGCTTAGGGGAGTTTGATAACACGAAATCATATAGATATTTTCATGCATAATTCAACTAAAATCTAACCGTTTTCGATCCGATTTCGGGTTATTTCCGTATATTTGTCTGATGTTTTGCAGGTATTCAACGATCACGTCTAAACAAGGCAACATGAAGAAAAGAAGCAATCTCAGATGAAATATGGACGAAAAAGGAGTGAAAATACAATGAAAAGCGCAGCAAGCTGTTTTTGCTGATGTGACGACCGTCACAGCTTCATGACGACCGTCACACGGGTGACGACCGTCACACCTTATGACGACCGTCATGCAGGCAAAAACGCCCCACTCAGATTACACGTCAAAAGAGCAGTTCCAATTCCCACAAAGTGGACCACTACTCCCTAAATTATCTGCCTCAAGGTCCATCATCTTCAGAGATAACCGTTGGGATTCCACTTCTATAAAAAGGGAAGCAGAGGACTTCAGAAGGGAAGCTGCATTCATACCACGAAGTGCTGCCGAATTTACTTTCCAGAGCAATTACTTTCCAGTTTTATTTGTATTCATTTCTCTTTACCTTTCCTTATTCTCATTTCCGCTCTTCTGTAATTTCTATTGTACTGTACGATCAAATTGGCACTAAAGACCAGAATCTTGCCAACATCTGTGGAGGATCTACCCAAAGGCCAATTGGCATATTTACAGGTTTTCATTTTGATCGACTTCAGTTTTATTATAATGCAGATTTTTATTTATTATTCTTATTTATATTTTGTTTTTCCCAAATCCATGTCTAGCTAAACTTAGGTAATCGATATGTAGTAATAATTCGAATGGGATTTGATAACCACTGGTTGGGAAACTTTCTTTTCACAAAAGTAATCTATGGTCTGAGTGTTTAAAATTGATTCACGGAATAAACTTCGTCGCGAAAGCGAGAACTTATTTAAAAGTAGTTTTGCCACGAAAGTGGGAAATTAATTAAGATACGAACCAACAAGCGAAAGCTGCGGTAAGGTCAGATAGTAAACACTAGGCATTTGTTTTAATAACAACGAAATCACTTTAAAATGAATTAGAACTTAGAGATTTCCAAAAAATAATTTTAACCCCGAACGGGATACGAAAGTGTACGTTTGGCCCTTAGGATTATGATTAGCGTCAATAACCATCGTGAGACGAGAGTCTTCAAATCTCCATTTTCTGCTTAAATAAACTTTGAAAATTATTTCATACACCAGTAATTTATCAAATCCCTGAAGAACACAATTACTACGTATCGATTCGATTAATTATAATCTAAATAGTAATCTTAGTTCCCTTTTTAGTGACAATCTTATTCCCTTAAACATATTCTACCTAGCTAAACATAGTAACTCCCGAGAACACTAGTTTGATTACGAGTCCCTGTGGGATCGATATCTATTATTACTACGCGATAGACTGTGCACTTGCAGTTAGTTGTATTAGACATAGAAAGTCGCGATCACCCAACACAACCACCTTATACCCCAAGCCAACACTACAGTCAACCTTACCCATCATTTAACCCAACCCCCTTCAAAAACCAACAACAAAACCCAACCTCATCATACCCCCAATATAACCAATTCTCATTCTCTCAACCTACCCAACAAGAACATAACTACCAAATACCTCAACCACAAGTTTCTTTTTACCCTTCACAAAACTTCACCCTTAATTCATCTCAAGACCAACATCCATACACCCCCTACATGACTAACACAATGTCACCTTCAAACCTACCAAGTTGGAGTAACGAGAGTACAAGATTAAGTTATGAAAGTGCAGCGACGATACCAACTGACGACGATTTTCAATGATGATTTGGTCGCTGAATTCATGAACCCTAACAATGATGCAGGACCATCTACACAGCCCCAAAACGTTGAGGTTGATCGTAGAAGGTCCATCAGAAATGTACAAGCTCCTGCCTGTGGAACCCACCAACGCTTACGTCGACCGGGTCGAAATTAATTAAGGGTGAATAGGAATTTTAATGTACATATTTAATTTCAAAAATTAATAAAAATTTATTTTAGTTCTTTTATTGTATTTTATTTTATAAATATTATTATATATTTCAGTGTACTATTTTATTTTAATTAGTACTATTTTAAAATAATTTATTTTATTTTATTTTATTTTTATGTAATATTTTATTTATTATTATTATTATTATTTTTTATAATTGTTATTTCTAATTAAATTATTATTATTACTAATTTAATAATTATTATTAATACATTAATAATTATTACTTTATTACTAATTTAATAATAATTATTAATATATTAATATATATTAATATTATTAATATATAAAAAAAATTAAAAAAAAAAAAAAAAAAGGGAAATAAAATTGAACATAGCCGCCATTGGAAGGACAAATGACATTTATTTTTTGCCTCTGCCACTTCTTAGAAGGGCGGAAGTGGTCATCCATTATTTTGAAAGTATGACAATTTAAAAAATAATTGAAAAAGAATGGCATTTTGGAAAATACTTTGCAAATGGCAGGGTGGAAAAAAATTCTGAGGGAGTCTCATCCATAACTCAGCACAAACATTCCTTGTTCTTCTCTCCCACTCTCACACATCAACCTCTCTTTCCCTTTCAATGCCTTCGCGAGCTTCCTTCTTCTTCTCCGTCCGTACACCCTCCGTGTATTTCTTTCTCGTGATGAAACTCGTAGCTGGAACCAACCACAACGCTCCCTCCTCTCCTTCCATGGCTCGCACTTTCTTTCACTCAAAACCCTCTCGTCTCACCACAAAATCATCGCCGGGAACGGAAAAAAATCCTCCGCGCCATGGCTTGTTGGCCGGCGACGACGGAGGTAACATTACCCTCCCCATCATCTGTCTCCCTTAAGCGACTTCGACTCAGTTTTGCAATGGAACCCGCAAACACGGTAATTTGAACACGCGAGTGGAAAATGGAAAAGATAAAGGAATATCTGAAGAGAAACAATTAAAGGTATGATTCGAACCTTGTTGCGATTCTTCTGTGCTTTATGTTGAATTCGTGTATTGATATCGTTGAACTGATGTTGTGTTTCGCTACTGCTATAGCCCTGCTGCTCTTCTATCCAAAGACGTCTTTTTCTCTTGTGTGTTGTTGTGTATGTTTTTCCCTTTCAAATCATGTGAAAACTGTGATGTTTCTGTGATTACCGGTGCTTTATGTTGAATTTGAATGTCCTATTTTACAGGCTCTGCGGAATTAATTTTCTGATTTCGACATTGAATGCGTGAGATAGCCGCTGATTTCTGTTTGATTGCGTGAAGAAAAACTTTCTGTTTTCGATTTGGAAACTTTTGCTGGCTTTTGATAGTGTGATTTCCTACAATTATGATGATTTTGATTTGGAAACATTAATTTATGTGATTCTCGTAACGAATACATGACCGACGATTTCATAATTGTGTGATTGATTTCATGAATCTTTGATTTCCTGCACTTGATGAATGATGAGAATTTCCTTTTCCGTATTCAATTTGCCATGAATGATTGAGTTTGGAAACATTGTTGATTTTGCATTGATGAATCAAAACTTATTGCTCATTATTGATTGATGACCGTGAATGCCTTTGATTTCTTTCAATTGATAGTGATGATTTGGTTTCTATTTTCGAAAAGATCGCCATAACAGTATTTTTAGTTTTCCTCTGTGATCAAAACTTCGATTGTTTCTAGTAATTAATGGTTATTGAATTATGATTTGCAGCTGTATGTTCACCAACTAGCAATATAGAAGTATTTGGCTTTTTCAACCAATGCGTAATTTCCGGGTTTCTTCAAATGATCAACCTCGTAGCAGCTGTTAAGCACAAGTTCCAGCAACGTAAGCTCTTAACGAAATATTTTCATGGTTTGTTTGCTTTTAGTCAAATTTGGTAATGTGATACCCTTATCTTGTGCAACATCATAATCAAAGTGTTGTTCATTAATTTCAGAGTGATAACTTTGATTAGGTAACTGGGTCAGAATACCGACACTGGATGTAGAATCAGGTGGGGACGGAGACCATGGAGGAATATTTTGATTTTCAGTGGGACTGAGGCCATTTTAGTGGAGCCTTTTTGGAGTGAAGTATGCAATGCCTAGTAGGTGACAAGGAAGAGACCTTGTAAGTGAGATTACATAGTTTATTGTATGAATCATGATCATTTACGCCGATTCAGCTTTTGATACTAACTTATGCATTTGTATTGTATTGATGCACTTTGTTCATGTGTTATGCTGCTTGAAATGATTCTTTCTAATTGCGAAATTCCTTCTGAGTACTGAAAATAGTTTGACTCATGTCATGACTTCCTTGATTTTTTTTGCCACAATTATGGTGAATGTATGGTTTAAATTTGCTAATCATGTTGCTTGATGATGTCTGGATGGTATGTTAACTTCTGTTGCAATTTTGATCCATGACATTAAAATTGCTCTTGCGATGTCGTTGGAAAATTTGCAACTCCTGCACTGTTTACTTTGGGTAGAATTACTCTACTTTTTTATGAGGAAGTTCGATACTGTCTTCTTCATGACATTGGACTTTATAGAAAATTGCGTAACAGATAACTATGGAGACCTGATGCAACTACAGGATAAAGGTTTCTGTTTACCGCAAATGTAAACAGAAGATGTACCAATAGTATGATTGTTTGTGTGCACATCAACTAGAATGTCCCTGGGAGTAACTTGGTATCAACAAAATGCTCTTGAAACAACTCCTCCACCAAGCCGGCTGACGAAATTGCAAAAGCTGAAAATTGTAAGTAAAGTTGTAGTATCCTCCTCGCTGTAATGAGTAACAAAATATTTTTTGCAAAATGTTCTTTGATTTTCTTCCGTGCAGGTTTGGCAGTGATGCTCTACATGATTAAGCTCTTGGTGTGTAATTACAGAGGCACCCGCAAAAGCATTCTCCATCACTAATGTTGTTGTTTTGTGAATTATCGGTCGTTTTGGAGCGTAAAATAGAATCGCCGCGCGTTATTCCTTGAAGCTATATATTGAAGCTCCTATGTGAATGTGGAATTTCATGATGATTGGATTGAACTTCAGCCACGATCCCAGAGGTGTGTGACATTCTGTTCATTTTGGAATTTGTCGGTTCTTGAATCAAGTGCTTTAAATGTTTATGATTCTTTGAACTCTTGCCATGTTGAATTTAATCCTTTTGCTTTATTATGTTTGGTATGATTTTGGAAGGGATTGGTACCGTGTCTAACTTCTTGAAACTGATGGATAACTTTCTTGTTCTTCCTACTCCTCTCCAGCTTTTAATAACATGTCAATAATGCTATGGCAGGCTTTGGTGTGAATTGAAAGTGAGGCTCAACGCATTTGGACGACTTGTGCTGGGTCACGTAGTTTTGGCTTGCAAGGGTAGCAATGGCTCGTGTGGTTTTTTTTAGAAGCTCGGTATTAACTTTTGTTTAGGCATTTTTTAGCTAACGTGTTTTGAAATAGCTGCTAGGAATGACTCGTAGCTGTAGCGTATTTCTCGTGTAACTGATCTGCAAGTAGCAGCTGAAAATGGCTCGTTCACGCAGCTTGTAAGAAGTTAGGATTTTGGCTTTGTAATACTCCTGAATACCATAGCTAGTGATGTACTTTTGGTAAAATGAAGTGTATTGACATGCGAGGTGATTTGAACATGGTTTTAAATCTTGTCTGCCATGTGCTTCATGTTGAAATCAAAACAATATTCGAATAGTCACTTGTTGTATATACCCCTTGTCTAAAACAAATGTCTTTCTGGATGGTTGAAATTTTATTTCTAGTACAGGTACTTTGGGATGCAATTTAGAATCATGAGTGTTGAGTTAAAAAAAACATGCTTCAAACCAAAAGAGTCCTCGAACAAACCCATACTCCTTGTTTAGAATACCAACAATAAGATTGACCCACTTCATTCTTAACTCATCTGCTTCAGCAATTTCTAAACGGAGAATTCGAACGAAGAGTGATTGATGCCCTTTGACAAAGCCGAACAATTTTATTTTTTTCGTAAAATTTGATATATCTATCAAGGAAATTAATAAGAAAACTAATCTCGAGACCAGATTTATAATCACTCATTGTTTTTCAACATCCGCAACCACACCTCTTCTAAGTAACATACTTCAAACTTCCCATATTTGACTAATTCTTGAGAGTACAACATCTTCATTCTCATACTTGCAAAATAGGGTGAACTTGGATGGTTGTTCTTGAAACATTGAATGGATTTTGAATCTTGTAAAATTCCACAAACTTCTAATGAACATAGCATGATCGGAAAACATTGAATGGATTTACGAATACTTGAATCAATACCCATGAGTTAATTGAACACTCTTGTATTCAATCAAAGGAAGTTTTCCATTATTGTATTTGAATTTTGGAAGCCAACCTTGAATTTGCGAATTGAGCTTGACATTCGATGAACCTTGATGCGAAAATGCCCATGATGATGATAATTTAATCCTTAATTCTTAAATCCATGAAATAGAAACCTCCGCCCAATAGAAAACCCTGATTCTTTAGAAGGCCTTGGTCCTATGCCTTAGGATCTTATGCAGATGAATGATTATGAGTGTACCACTTAGGGGACAAATGCATTTGCGTGTGAAACAACAACCAATTATAGTTGAGCAAAGTGAGGGAAAATTTTGGAGTACAACAGCTGCCACTATTCAATCAACTTAAAACTGAAGGTATGAAGAGTGACGCCTTTCAAACATTCAAGGTAGGAGGAGATTTAATACTAAAAGAACCATAAAATTTGTAATCTATATGAGGAGAGACGAGTCTACTGGGGAATAAATAATAAAAGGTATGATTAAAGTGTGTCGGAAGTTGGGGTCAATACAGACGAGTGCCAAATTCACTGGGGATGAACGCAGACGAGTGTTAAGAAATAAACACGACGAGTGTTGAGATCAATACAGACGAGTATTGAGGCAAAAGAGACAAACACAGATGAGTGTCGACCGCCCTGGAGGATAAACACAAACGAGTTTCAAGATCAATATGGACGGGTATCGGGAAAGTAGATAAACACGGACGAATGTCTGAGAATCAATAAAGATAAACACGAACAAGTGTCAAAGACCAATATAGACGAGTACTGAGAAAGTGGATAAACACGAACGAGTGTCGAAGATCAATATAGATGAGTATTGAAAAGAATTAGAATGAACACTGACACATGTTTGAAAATTCGTAGAAATGAACACAGACGAGTGTCAAAGATCAATGCGGATGAATATTAATGAGACTGAAATAATCACGACGAGTGCTTGAGAATTAACACGGACGAGTATTGAAAATAAATGAAACAATCACGGACGAGTGTTTAAGTCGATATAGACGAGTATTAAAAAGAGAGATGATAAAAACGCAAACGAGTGTTTGAATCCAATATGGACGAGTATCAGAAAATATTGGATTAAACACAGACGAGTGTTTGAAAATCGGTAGAGATGAACATGAACGAGTGTTGAAGATCAATACAGAAGATTATTGAAAAGGATTAAAACACAGGCGAGTGTTTAGGGCAATATGGACGGGTATTGAAAAAAGAATAAACACAGACGAGTGTTAAAACTCAATACAGACGGGTATTGAAAAGGAACGGGATGAACACTCACGGATGAATACAAACACAGATGAGTGTTGAAGAGAAATGAGAGAAGACACGAACTATAACACCCAAATTTAATTGGAATATTTTAATTTATTTATTTAATTGAGAATATTCGTATTTTGGTGGTTTTCGGTGGTTTTGTGGATTATTGGGAATTATGGATTTTTGGATTATTTGTTTAATTAATAGTATACAATATGGAAATATTAGTATTATTATTAGTTAAAATAAATATAAGTGAAATAAGGATAATTTGGGCATTAAGAGGAGTTAGTAAGGGTGTTATGGGAAAAACCCAATTGTGTGGCTCAAGACTAGGTTTGACAAAAAGGAATTCTGAAGAGAATTAGGATTCATTTTGTTAACCGTGAAAAGTATTGAGGCCAGAGCTCTGAGGAGAAGATTGGAGGCAGAAGCTTCGAGAGATTCCCGGAGATAATCGTGAAGGCTTTGATCGACAATTAAGGTATGGGGAGTATAGTTTTTTATGATTTTCCATGTGTAACTTTCGATGTAATTATGGTTGATTTACGGGTTTAAGGGTTTTATGGAGAATTATGAGAAAAAGGGATTTTCGCCTTCGTGGCCTAAATCTATTATGGAGATTGTAACCGTAGGGATTTTGAGGGTAGAGATGAGAAATTGTGATCTTTGGCCTTCGTGGCCTAAACCGATTATAGGTTAATCTAGCCGTGGTTCAATTGGGGAAAAAGGGAAACCTTAGGCCTTCGTGGCCAAAACTATAATTTGAACCTGTCTGACCCTGAAGGACTATGAATATTTAAATGTGAGTAACTCTGATGCCTTTGCGGCAATTGTAGGAAATTTGTGATTTAGGGTGTGAATATGATCCGGGATTGGCCTAATGAACCATAGATTTTGTGCCTTTATCGCTGTAAGACCTTAGGGATGATTTAGGGATGTTTTGAGGGCATTGTAGAAGTGAATCGTGTGGACTTTTGGGTTGATTTAGGCTCTGGTGCGTAACAACATTTTGCTGTCCGTCACGACTGTTTATGTTTTCGGTCGAAATTGTTTTGGACGTAACTTTTGACCCATAATTCTGTTTTGGCCCCCATTTGAAGCGTTGGAAAGCTAATGAATAGAGCTATAACATAGTATAGATAAGGGAATTGGTTTCCTCTTATTTTTATATCTAATTATGTTTGATAAGTCAATTGTGTATATGTTCTATTAATGAATCATGTTCTGGTTCAGTGATGTCTTGATGTTTTGATGCTGCGATTTTCCTGATGAATTACCATGAGGGTAACTATGATAATATATGATAATATGATGAAATAACATGAGTAGGATTGTGAAGTTTATGTGATTAATAGGCGATGGTATGAGGATTGCCGCGAGTATAATTATGAATTAATAGACGATGGTATGAGGATTACCGTGAGTATTATTATGAATTAATAAGTAATAATATGTGATAATATGTGATAATATGATGAATTAATATGAGTATGACTGTGAGCGCTACATGATTGTAAATAATTATATGATGATTTTATATGATGTATGATGATGATTATTATGATGAATTGTGATGACATGATGTATGATGATGGTTATTTTGATGAGTTATGATGACATGACGTATGATGATGAGCTATGACGTTTGATGATTATGAATATGATGAGCTATGACGTTTGATGATGATGAATATGATGAATGATGATGCACCTATGATGTTATTATGAGGATGATTTGTGACGTGTGCATCATGCATTCATGTGCATCCGGACTTCGGTTCAGGACCTTGATTACTTTGGCTTCAATCCCACTGTGCGGATGTGAAGTATTTTGATGTGCTCCGGTTCTCAAGTAGAATCGATCCTATTGATGGGGATCTATGGAGGGTTGATGGCCCAGTGTCCATCGAGCTATGATGATTGGTACCACATGCATTGAGTTGTGTTGCATCTACATTTATGAGTCTTTTTGTATAAATTATGATGTTGTGGCCTTCGAGGCATATTGATGAATATGAAGGTTGAATATGATTATGATGCCATTTATATGTTGATTTTCATACATTGATTTTTATGAATTGTTTTACTCACCCTGCTTGTTTGAATGTTACCTCCACGTAGGTAACATGCAGATGACAAGGTTTAGCCGTGGACGCCGTCGAGGATTATTTTTAAAGTCTTTGAGTCGTTAGCCTTCTTGGTTAACTTAGAGGGTCTTGCTTTGATATGTAACATTGGGTTGGGTTCTT